CGCCCCCCTGGCCCTTCGGGCTTGGCAGCGGGAGCTCAGAGTCCGCCTCCCGGCTGGCCCGTGGCCGAGCCACGGGATAAAGTCCAGCACGCACAGACGTACCTCTGTCCGCCTGTCCCGCTGCCGCATCCCTCATCGCCAGCAATCGCGGCGCGCCGCTGCCCGGGGCTCTGCAGTCGAGCCCGGCTGGGGAGCTGCCACCTGGACTTACCCCTTTCCTGTCGCTGCCTGCAGGCATTTACGTGTGCGCCAAATGCGGCTACGAGCTCTTCTCCAGCCGTGCCAAGTACGAGCATTCGTCTCCGTGGCCAGCCTTCACTGAGACCATCCATGAAGACAGCGTGTCCAAGTACAAGGAGCGGCCAGGAGCTTTAAAGGTGCTGAGTCTAAAATGCTTGGAAAAAATAACACGAAAGCACAGCCCTTTTCTCACAGGAAGCTCTCTGACTGGCCTCTCTTGAGAGAGGCCGCTTATGATCTGACTCTCCTTGTGTTTCTAGGTATCTTGCGGCAAGTGTGGCAATGGGCTAGGCCATGAATTTCTCAATGACGGGCCAAAGAGGGGGCAGTCCCGTTTCTGAATATTTAGCAGCTCGCTGAAGTTCATCCCTAAAGGTGAGGGCTGCACTGCAATCGTTTTTTATGCTCTTTGGCTTGGCTAAGCGCTCCCACGATTGTCACAGTTGGAGCGAGGATGTCCTGTACCAAGCTCAGGCACAGGGATTCCCCCGGGAGCACCTTTATCCAGCCTTTCTGAGCTTCCTCTTCTTCCCCACGTAGCAGAACAGCCCTAATCTGGGATGTGGCTGCCCTGAACACCGCTGCAAAAAACACTGGAATGGTCATAAGATAAGTCAAACGAAAAAGCGAGGAGAAATGCTTCCCCAGGGCTGGGTCTTACTCCCACTGAGGCTGCTGAGACTTTCAGATCAGTCAGATTAGGACCAGGCACAAGGGAGAGAGTGTTACGTTCATGAACTTGTGCCCTTGTCCACGTGGTCATCCTTTTGGGGGGTTGCTGATGGCTGGGCCACGCTGTGTATAACGTGCTATTTTCCTCTGAACGTAGCTGGCGGTTCAGATAAGCCGAGGAACCACTTAAATCCTAAACAAATCCCTCATGCTTCAGTCTAGTCAGCTGGCGACCCTGTCAGGGATATTTGACCTACCAAGTTAAAATGCAGAGTGTGCTGCAAGCGCGCAGCCCCTCCTGGATGCTGCTGCAGGCCTGCAAGTGTCAGAGGAGCAGCTGAACATCAGAGGTCTTCAGCTGATCCTGCAAGGCAAGGGCGGAGAGTTCCTGAATTGACATACACATGACTGGGAGGATTTGCTGCTTCATTCCCCACAGAAATCACGTGGGAGGTTTGAATATTGCATCTGCTTTACAGATAGGGAACAGATCTACTGGGAAGGGAAGAGCTTCTCTCTCTTGTGGTTATTATGCTATTTTCTTTCCCCAGAGTCAGAAGAAGGCTTTGGGGAGCCTTGTTTGAGTACAGAGCAGCACCAAAGCCATATATCTTGCAGCCCTACTTACCAGACTGTAACTCTTGTGAAATATTAGCTGCATGTAGCCAAATGACTGTATAAAATAGGCTGGGAGTTCTGGAGCAAGAAATGTGAACCCTGATTTTTTTTTTTTTTTCCCTCTCCTTCTTTTAGGCAAAGCCGAGGACCTGAAGGAGAAGTAAGCGAGCTACTCTACTTGGCACACTGTTCTTCAGCTGATTCTGAGCTCACGCTTTGGGATGGACTGTTGGGTCAATAGGGCACTCGGAGCGAGAGAAAGCCTGAAGAAGAGAAGCTACTGATTTCTCAAGGCCAGTTCTCTCCTCGGAGATGCTCTGATTCTGGGTGCGGGGGGGAGAGCTGTGGCAGGGGAGCATTGGGGAGGGGAGGGAAAAACGTGGTTGCTGGAGCTCTGCACTTGCTTGGGTGGTGGAGCTCTGCACTTGCTTGGGTGGTGGGTTGTATGACCTATGTCTGAGGTTATTTCACGTGAGTTGGACTAACGCAAATGCTGCAGCTCCTCATCTTACCTGCCCTTACCGTGTTTCAGCCGTCTGTTCCCTGAAACATCCTTGCCTCTGCCAGTATCAGCTATTAGGGAATCCTTTCTGGTTTTGTCCCCTTGAAAGTGGCACGTGTGCCTGCAGTCCTGGCTCTGCTGAGCTCTGTGGCAGTTCTGCTATCGAAAGCAGCAGAGCCAGGACTCCCTCAAACCCACTGCCCAGAGGGGCAGTTTCTGATTTGTCACCAACTGCAATCCAGAGTTGCTCCACTGCTGTTTCCAGGGAGTAACACTGGATTAACAGAGATCAGAGTCTGTGTTAATCTCTGGGTGCTCTTCTGGGCTGGGATCATGGTATGAATTGCCCTATGTAAACCCTTCCAGGATGCTAGGGCAAGGATGATTTTATGATCCTGCTAGACAAAATCCAGGTATTTTACCCTTTTACCATGTCTTGCACACAGCAGAGAGAGTTCTAGATTTATTGTGTTCTCTGGGCTTGATTCTGGCCTTGCCTCGCAACAGATTTATTACTGTGTGGCCACACTCCAGTGGTGTTAACGGTTCCTCCTTGCTTACACTGGTGCAAGGAAGACCAGAATCAGGCTCACTAACTGCAACTTGCATAACTCAGGCTTTAGGGATCACGTATTTGAATTTCCTTTGCACTTGGAAGGGCTATGACATTGATTTCTCCTTAATTCAGAGTCTGAATTTTGGCTTTCCCTAGCTGCCCGCATTTGCTCACTGGCCAGAAATCAAATTCTCCTCTTTGAAATCAATACAAAAGGATATAGTACCAGAGCCCCAGGACATTCTCTGCTCTTCCCTGGGTCTTTTGTCCTGTTCCTTGTTTGGGGCTAGACCTTCTGCTCTGTCACTGAGCATAAACCTATACTCTGGGACTGGCAATGGAGCAAGGCCTCAGTAGAGCTCCATCCTGCTGCTCTACTGGTAGGCAAAATTCCCCTCAAAGTCTGCTGTGGAGGAATGAACCTTGCAAACAAGCAGGATCTGACCCCTCAGTAGACCTGGTATTCGGTTACAGACATGCACAAATGGGTGGCGAACCCCCGACCCTTTGGTCAGCACGGCAAGCCTTTTACTTACCTGTGGGTCCAGAATTACAACCGCAGTGCAACGCGTGGATGGCTTTGTAAAGCCATGCTGCCCGCAATGTTACGGTTCAGCTGCACTCAGGGGCACTTTATAGGCTTTTCTCTTCCTGCATTTTTGCCTCCTCAAACTTCATCTGGGCTGGAGGTCACGAGGACACTGACAAACAGTGCAACACACCAGCTCATCACCTGGCGTTCACTGCTCATCTTGTACCTCTTTAAATACTGAAAATAAACCACTGATTCACTGTGTCAGAGAAAGAACTTCTTTTTCAAGAAGCACTTCTTGATGGCAAGTCCTGGGGGGATTATATGCCAGGATTCCTTCTCTCCTTGGTTTTCTTGGTATTGACTGTAGGAGTGGGAGAGGCTTCTGTCTGAATTGCTCTAGACTAGTCCAGCTGGGACATGGGCTAGGCCTGTAGAAGTGCAGGCTAGATTTCCCTGTGTCCAAAGATCTGGCCAGAAATCTCAGAGCAGGTTTTACCAGACGACTCAGAGACCTCTCCCAGATATCTCCATCTCCAGCCGTGGACATGGCAGCCCAAGATCCGGAAATGTACCTGTCTCACGTCCAGCACGTTCTGGGGCTTTGCAACCAAATCAGTTGGCCTGAGGTTGGTCTGTGTGGTTTTATCATGTATCCATCACCGTTATCCCAGGCTTTGCAATGGGAAAGGGGGAATACTGATCTGTTAGAGGTTTTGGGCATATCCAGGACCAAAACATTCCTTGCGGAAGTTTTTTTCTTAAATTAGCACTTTTACTCAATTGTAGCTGCTTTTAGCTCACTTCATAGTTAATTGCTTTTGTTCTTGGTAACTTCCAGGCTGTGGGCTGGCAGGATTTACTGGGAAGAAGGAATATGAGTTTTAGCAGTGTCTAATGATAGTTTCCACGTGGGAAGCTGGACGTGAGACTGGAAGCTACAACTCTCATTCCCAACTGCCATGTTCTCTGCCTCAGAAATGTCTCTTCAGCCTGGCAGAGTCAGATGCCAGGTTCATGGAAGCTGAAAATTGAGCTGGACTTTGCCTGACTCTGCCATCCCCCATCGGAGGAGAGCACTCGGAGAGCCGGCTCCGGCCTTCCTCCTCCCCTGGGGTTGGCTTTTGGACCGGGGTGGTGGTGCACTCACTTGCTTTACCCTGTGCCCAGCGCTAACTCCAGCTCGTGCCGCTGGTGGTTCCTCGTGCCCTGGCTGTCATCAGGTGGATTAGGCACCTGACTGAGTGCTCACTCTGTTACACCAGTTACTGATTAGGTTTCAGTCTGAGGTTCAAGCTCCTTTTCAAGTGATTAATCCTCTGCTCTATTGCTTTTTGTCTGGTCTGGTCACCTCAAAGCAGCCCCAGAGGTCATAAGCTGCCAGTTTGCTTCTGACCCTGAAGCCAGGCTGAGGTGGTCTCTGCTCCTTCGCAGAAGCCACTGCCTGGCTGTGCTGGGACACCTCCCTCCTCCCTGCTCGCTGGCCGTTTGCGGGGTGCAGTGCTAGCAAAGGAAGATTTAGTGCTTTTGCTCTGAGCTGCTTGAAAGCTCCTTCACAACTGCAGAAGAGCAAAAAGACAGGACTGCAAGAGCTTCCTCCTTCCTCTCGCAGCGTGAAACCACCATGTCTCCTAGGTCCTGCTTTGCCCAGGCAGGGCTGGAGCGGGACGGCCGTGGGCTCGTGCAGCGTGCTGCGATGGGCTGCGCGCCTGGGAGCAACGATGCAGCAGCCCAGGAGAGAGCCCGCTGCGCCCGCCGCCGCCGTGCTATTCCTAATCCTTCCTTCTCCCAAAAAGCAGAAGTCCCTGCTGGGAAGTCCTTGTTTTCCAACCGGTGCAGCTAGCAGGATAAACCAGATTCCCTCCTGCCTCCAGCTTCTGACCAGCAGAGGACGGTCAGGAAGGAGCTGTGCTCAGGCAAAGGGCGTTGGATGAGGTGGAAGAGCTGCCTCCTTGCCTGGGGCAGAAGGACACGTGTGACCCCCACGTCAGGGTCTCGCCCCGCTTGTCCGGGGGACGATCCCTGTGCTGGCCCGCCGAGGGCATGGGGCAGCGCTCTCCCTCGCCTCGCAGCCCCGCGCGCCT